TATTTTTCATAATTAGCATTCTAGATTCTGGATGTTACAGTTTAACACTTGTAAAACAATAACGCTCGTAGACCTTTAGTTAATTAGTCGTAACAAATATTAGACAAAAACTTAGCAATAATAATGTTAGGTTCCGTCGAAGGAAAATATGATTGTTAGAAACGAAGGGTTGTCCGAATTTCAAGTCATCACTTTAACAAGTGAGTGCATAGTTACTTTCATCTTACACATAGATATGAAGTATTTAATATAAATTACATACTATGTGTGCATATTATCTGTGTTCTTGATATCTATGTTGGATGAACAAAATATACATGTTTTATTCGATTTAAATTGTATACAAATTTTATACCTATAATCATGATAGGTAAATATGGGTAAACTAAATATGAGAGATGAAAGATGAAATGAATGATGAGAGATGATATAAATGATATAGATAACGAGAAGTGAAAGAAGATAATAAATGATCACCTAAGCTATGGCCCAGTCATCTAGCATAGTATAAATGAAAACCACAAACTATTCTAGGCAGTCCAATGGAACACTAGCAGGCTCGCAACTTGTAGCTATTGTGAATGATATGTTCAACAGATGTACTCTAAAAACCCATTGACATGTATTGTGGGTGGACTCTCTAAAATAATACTGTCAGTAAAAGAGATAAACCCTGACAACTATGGACTTAGTGCCTAACAAATAACACTGACAACTATGGACTTAGTGCCTGTTATACAAACCATGGAAACGATGGACTTCATGCCTATTACTTAGGACAATCCTTAGGAACGAATGAATGAATGATAAATACTTATTATGGTAGATCCTTCATAAATAAAAAAGATAACAGGGGTGCGTAATTGGGATAATTGTTTGATGATGAAACATAATAACTTTATTATTGTGAGATGAAAACCCTATGTACTCACTAGGTTTCCTAACCTGACCCATTAAGTTTATCTGCATCACAGGTGTCGATATGAAGCTACATTATACTGAGAGATTAAAGGAGATGTAAATCACTAGTATAAATGAATGTAAGGTATGTTTATGCTTATGTTTCTGTATTGACGATTACATCCCAAAGTTTTAATATAAACAAATTACATTTCTTTGGAAATTCTTAGATAATATATTTATCACGTTTTCTGGGAACAAATTCCGCAATATTATTCTTTAAAATGAATACTCTGATTTTGAAATAAGCATAAATAAAATTTATAAAATGACCGTGAATTTGGGGATGTCATAATCTCTTTGGATTGTGTTTCTCCTTTGAATGTTGCTTGAACTAGCACTATTTTGAAGTGAATGTTGTACAGTACGAGATAATGCAGGTAACAAATCAGCGTTGATAAGTTCATCGTCAGATGATGAACTATCATGATTATCTTCCATTAGTATTTTCCAAATGTTTGGATTTATTTTGTATAGAGAGAAAATATATAGAGAAAATAGATTTAGGGGTTTGTATAGAGTGATTACGCACGACAGATATATAGATAAAAGTTACATATAGAGAATCGTTTGAAAAAGAAAAATAAAAAACGAAAAAAGAAAAAAATTCACTAATTATTTAAGTACATTCTAAATTTCATGGGTTCTATGACTCCCAACCATATTTAGTTGCAATTTGTCATTTCTTTTCAAGCACCGTTGTGAGGTGCATAAATTGCACCTTTTTATAGGTTAATTTCATGTTTATTTATAACATTGCATTGCATTTTTAGTATAATTTTCATACATTTTGCATTTAGGGACATTATCGAGGATCTATCGATATTTCATCGTTTTTCTGTGGACGTTTATGGGTGATTTAAAGATTGGAGCATGCTTAGGACGGTTAAGGGAAACTCTCGGTGAAATTTCGAAACTTTCGGAGCTAAATTGAAGAAATGAAGAAAATCGGAAATTTGCCATTTTATAGTTCATTACACGGACCGCGCTTTGGCAAGACATACGTTACGCGACCGCTCTTTGGAAGCTTTTCAGAACATCAGGATCATTACACGACCGTGTAATGACAAGGCATACGTTACACGGGCCATGTAACCTGATCTGATTGAATTTTGAATCTCTAACTTCCGATTTATCTACGGTTAATGGCACATAAAAACAGAACTTTGGCTTGGAACTTCAAGGGGCGATTTTGGGAGATTATATCATGATCTAGCATCTTGGAAACACTATAATTTGCATTTTGCAAGTTAATTTGAATATCAAACTTGTTGAATTTGTAATTTAATTTAGACATGTGTGGCTGATTTCTTTATCATTTTCAATTCTAGATTCTCAAGTGTTTGTTGTTAGATTGTAATTTTCACTTGAATTTATGTTTATCATCTAGTAATCTTTGATTCGGTCTTAATTATATGTTTGATTGGCTATCTTTTTCACTTGATCAATGAACTAGGGTTCTTAATAATCTAGTTAATCAAATTCTGAAATTTGTATATGTTTTATGAGTTGATGTTAGTAACATGCACTTGATTGGTTGTAATTAGATCAAAATTAGTGTAATCAAAGATTAGATGTTCATATTCCCGAACTTATGAGGAATTTTGGACATTGTTGGTAATTGTTGCAAAAACTTAATGTCATTTGATGATTTGATGCAATAGCTTATTTGAAATTAATCAATTAAATGAAGTTTTATTTGAAGAACATGTTTTGGATTTAACATTTTTGTCAACTTGGATATTAGAGTTTATTAATATATAAATTGCCAACCTGGACTGAACATGAATCACAATCATATTACACCTTACAACACAACATATGTAAAGGAATCAGAATCGGAAATGTACTTCTTTTATTGAATTTTATTACTAATCTTGTTTTGTTTATGAAGTTTAATTTGAATTCAAACATAACCCCTACTTTAACATTGATGGTATGATGTGTAAAAATTTGGCTAAATAAAAAGTCTCGTATTCCTGTGGACCGGCCCTGCTTATTCTATACTATATTTAGTCCAAGTAGTAGCAGTGATCTGCATTTCGTTGTTATTATTTTATCTCATTATTTGTTGGTTTGACCACCAAACAACTGTGCACAAAATACATCTAGTTAAATGATCACGTGGTTGTAGAAAATATTGCATATTTTGGTTCTCTATCTCCCGCTCCAATAATTGAGTTTTCCATTCTTCACTAGCTTGGAAAATGCGAAAATTTTCTTCCCAGTATCGTTGTCTCTGTCCCACATCACTTTTGGTTGTAATGTTGATGTCGACAATTTTATCGATTAGATCAAATATTTCATTATGTGTTGATGATACCGATGCCACTTTATTTCCTTTTCTTTTATCTATGAGGCAGTGAGTGTTCAACATTAAACGACTTTTGTTGTTGGATGAAGATGTTTTGGTTCGTTTTGAAGGAGGCGGGAGTCTTCACCAACTTTTTTAACCATCGTCCATTTCGCGTGGTCTTTCAACCAACAATAAGCTTTTAATGAGGAAATTTTTTCTAATTACTAGTACTCCGATACTTGCTTTGTGTATATTTTAAAACATCAACCTTAGATCTCCTGCTATCCAAATTGTTCATCCTACGGTTGTAGATGCAATCGAAATCGTTACATTTCTTTTGAAGTCTTTCCATTTTGAGTTTACTTAGTGTCGTGACTAATCTAAACCTCCCAGTTGAGCATCAAAATGCTCTAGCATCCACTCCCAAAATGCATTTGACCTTTGTTGATTTTCGCGCTGTTTATCTTTAGAAACATCGACATATGACCTAACCAAAAACAACTCTTCATGCTCCACCCATTTATTTGACTTCTAGCTCTTTGTATAATTGCTTTTTTTCTCAGCAACGAGTTGTAACTCCTCGCTGGCTTGTTCTTCGTTTTCTTAGTTTCTTTCGGGAGTCGGGTCGTCATTAGAACTGTCAGATTCTACGTTTTAAGCATCACGAACCTATAAAGTCCCAAAATGAGAAGATTGAAATTAGGTTTCTAAAACCCTTTGAGAAAACTGCATACATGGATTATAACCCAAATTTTCCTTTGAAAGAGTAATTAAATGTGTTGTAAGATTGTTGCACCGAAAAATAATGTTATTGATAGTTTTGATTTTGTTGGTAGTTTTGCTATTGTTGATAGTTTGGGTTTTGAAATCCCGGAGAAGAAAATAGAATATCTCGACTTAAACCACCCTGTGTGGATTTATGTCTTTGGCTAGAATCGGTTTGTTTAACTTTTCATCGGGAATCCATTGAAGGTAACCGAAGCAAAAAGTTTTTTTTAATGAAATTTATATAAAATTGAGAGAAGTGGGATATGTTGATAAATATATACAAAAATATAGAAAAAAATAAATAAATAAAAAGGAGCTAGCTTTGGTTTTCTCACAAGATGCATGAAAACAAAAAAGATCAGCGCATATATTCTCTTCATATGTGCATGCATTGAACACAAATTTACGGGTCTACCAACTTACCAACTCGCTGACAACGAATAAACTCCTCCAACCCGCTGGACTCGCTGGTCGTGAATCATGACCTGACGATACCACCCCAACCAATCTTTAGCCCATCACAAGACTCCATCCTCCGTTAAGCAATGTTAGCTGGGTGATAGAGCATAACATTACAGACTAGGAAGAGTGTTTTTGCGTTATTATGCGTAACACGTGGGCATAACACGTCATTTATTATATCCATACCGTATAGCCTAAGGCTATAGAGAATATAGTGCGGTAAAAATGAGATAACGTCTATGCGACATAGTAAACACCGCCCCCTATGCGGTTTGAGGTGTGCAACCAAAAATGGGAGAGCTCCTCTCTGACTATCTCTTTTATCTTTTCATGGTATATCAGTCCTTGTGCGTGGTAAGAGAGTGTGACAAAATAAAAAAGTGTAGCGCTACTCCCTCCAGCCTAATAATAACATTTTTTTTTTTTTGGTAAGTGCTTGTATTTTTGTTCAATGGTTACCTATCTTTGAAAAATCCGATCGAATACATTTTTGGGCGTAAATCCGGTCGAATACATTTTCGGGTGTCCAAAAAATGGGATCCGATTTGTAGACCTCTATCCATTGCCATATCCCCAGACCTGCCACGTGTATGAAGTCAAATATAGCCATGCGCACTCTAGCATCTGCCGCCCTCTCGTCCAACTTTCCCGGCGGCGCTCTCAAAACAATATACACACGATGTCGGTTTCCACCACTCTCTCCCCACCAAATCCTCTTGCGTTTCCTCACCTCAGCTCTCATGCACGTCACCGCACCTCATCCTTTCCCATGGCCACCATCATCCGCCGCCATCTAAACCCTATCCGGCGTCGATCCCTCGCTATCGCCGCGGCAGTTCGTCAACAACAAGACACCACTCTCTGGACCCCCGCCTCTTTAGCCAACGTAAAGCCTGCTGCAGAATCTCTCTTCCACATAACCATCGACGTTTCGGAATCCCCGGATCTGGCCTCGTCCTACACCCTTGCCGGACAATACCTACAGCTCCGCCTCCCTGATGTCGAGAAGCCTTCCTTTTTAGCGATTGCTTCGCCTCCGTCACTGGCTTCCACGACCGGTGTTTTTGAGTTTTTGGTTAAAAGTATCGCTGGATCCACGGCGGAGCTCTTGTGTGGTCTCGGAAAAGGCGATGTTGTAGAGTTGAGCCCTGTTATGGGGAAAGGATTCAATACAGATCAGATATCTCCGCCTGAGGATTACCAATCTGTTCTAATTTTTGCAACGGGATCCGGAATTAGGTAATCTAGATCTCAAACTTATATCATAATTATGTGATTACTTGCGTGTTTTTGCTCTTCAATTACTTACATGATACTATCCAACCATAGAATCATCGAACATCAACAAAACTCTCATTTTTCATCTCGATTGATTTCTATAAACAAAATCGTATCCCGATTTGAAAGATGAAAATCCTGAACTTTTCAATGTTCCAAAGTAAAATTATGGACATGAGATTGTCCTGATTCAGTTTAAAACCTAATTTGGCTTGCCATGGTGAAGCTCTAGGATTAGATGATTTCTTTACATGACATCCTCCATACATGACCATGATGCATTGTGTTATATTGGAGTATAGCAACTAATAAGAATTTGCAGTATGTGTATTGAGTTTCATAGATGTTCTTGATGTTGATTGTCGCGTCATGATGAACTGAATTTGAATACCCATTGTAATACCTCATTCATGCAGCCCAATTCGATCTTTAATCGAATCAGGATTTAGTGCAGACAAGAGATCAGATGTGAGGTTATACTATGGTGCAAGAAACCTTCAAAGAATGGCTTATCAGGTTCTCACTATAATCCTTAAATTTCTGACCCTTTTAACCTCAAACTGATTCTAATCTTCCATTTTCTTCAACCATTATAGGATAGATTCAAAGCCTGGGAATCTACAGGGGTTACAATCATCCCGGTGTTGTCTCAGCCTGCTGATAGTTGGGCTGGTGAATCCGGCTATGTACAAGCAGCTTTTGCAAGAGCTAAACAACTCTATGCACCCGAGTCAACCGGGGCTGTGCTTTGTGGTCAAAAACAGATGGCCGAGGTTTGTTTTTTTTTTTATTTTTTTTTATTTTTTATAAACTGCAACCAATAGTATTAGTAAATTAGTAATGTTTTTTCATGTGAATGTTCTTTGTAGGAAGTTACTTCTATTCTTGTTGACAATGGTGTACCTAATGAGAAGATTTTGAAAAACTTTTGAGGTTCAAAATCTAAATTGGTGGATGGATTGTTGTATACTTTAGTTATAATTTATTCCAAGCATCTCAGTTTGGAATCATGGAATAACATCAATTTTTGAGATGGTAAATGTACAATTTTACCCTCATCATTTTTTGAGGTGATGCCAAATGGCAAGAAGACTTTGTAATTTATATTTATTTACTCGTGTCGAAATTTAATGGTCCAAATTGTCAAGTGTATGCGTTGTTTGACAACATTAGAGAATCGAATTTTGTTCCTTTGATCTTTGGTACCTATCGAATGTGTTTTGGGTGATTTGGAATATCTGGTATTGGATGTTATTGGTTCAAACATAATCACTTTTAACCTAATCTTTCAAATTTGTTATATGTTTTTAAACTGTATCAAAAGAGTTTTCTTTTATTTTTATATCATAATGATATTAGCACTCTTTCAAAAGTGATCCATGTTTATTAATCAACAACTACTTTAATCTTAGTTATTTATAACTAATAATAATCTAATAATATATATTAACAGGAATATAATACTTTATAATTTAAATGATAAATATTCATTAAAATAATAATAATAATAATAATCTAATAATATATATTAACATGAATATAATACTTTATAATTTAAATGATAAATATTCATTAAAATAATTGCATCACACAAGACATGGCGGTGAGGACAAAGAGAGATGTAAAAACAAACTTTTTATTTTGCTTAAGAATGAAAATTGAAACAAAACCAGGCTGCCTATATGTATTATCCTAGTGAAAAATTAATTTCAAAGGCGTTATCCATAACTTTCGTGAAATCATAATCCACTTGGTGGATGAATTTAATCTAACCTTTTTCAAATTAACAAAATTTACCAGCTTATTTAAAATATGTGTCCCACTTGGGTTATAAATATGTAATTTGATCGAAATCAAAAGTTCAAAACCATGTTAAATGACTTAAATATCATTTCCATAGTTCCCTCTATTTATTTTTTTTAATTTTTTTATTTTTTATATCTTTAATAGAAATGATTGAACCAAAGGTTAATTAAGGACTCTTTTCTATACTTATTTTATTTTTATAACTAATTAAACTAATCTTTCTGGATTTATAAAGAATAATCAAATTTTCTAGTTTTAAAAAAACATTCTTTTGAATATCTCATTCCGAACTAATATTTAAATTTTGGAGTTTCTTTTTCTTCAAATAAATCTCTCTATTTATGTCTGAATGTCATTTCAAAGTATTTAATACCACAAATTTTCACTCAAATAAAATTTATTCTTCAATATCATATTTATTATGTTCGTTAACATTTTTATTAGATTTTAGTTAAAAATTAAATTTTGTCTTGAAATTTTGAAAATGTTCATCAGATTTCCGGTTAGTTCTCGAAATTCAAGAGGATATATATTTTTTTCGAACTCCAATTTTTTAGTCTGAAATCCGAATATCGATCTAATTCAAAATGTTAGTCCGAAATATATATATATATATATATATATATATATATATATATATATATATATATATATATATATATATATTGTTAGAAAAAATGTTGTTATAAGTCTGGAATGCCAATTGATGTTTATTCTGCAAAAAATATTATTTTTCTTGTTATTTTCTTAGATGTTATATTATGGTTAGTTTAATTAATTACCCAATTGATGTTTATTAGCCTTTTCTAATAAAGAAATTAAATAACCCTTCATCATATTCCAATCACTGGCATATAAAAACATCATGTACCCATTTCCGCCGCCGCATCAAACCCTACGTAACCCTCGCTTTCCAGAGAACCAAACGTGGCCTTACAATCGAGAAGAAGCTGCAACAACAAAGGTATGCTCGTTCATTATCTATTAACTCACAACCCTTTTCTATACAATCCATGTTTTCTTTGTGTATCTTTTTCAAAATGAAACCAGATTATTGCATGTTCGTCGGCCGGCTATTACATGAATTTGGGTTTGAGTAAGAACAATGGGTGAACACATAATAACAAAATTGAATAACTTTCTTTGCAATTAACCTCGGTTAATTTCTATTACTTATCATCATCTTTAGAGTTTTATAAAGTTAATTGTAAATTTGTTTTAGATTCTGAGATGGACTCTTTTTAGAGATTGAATCGCAGGTCTATCGGGGGCGGAAGCTAATACAACCTTACTCTAGATCCTCAATCGAAAACCATACAACCTTACTTTTTTATTCTCCCCAATTGCGATTTGTGAATCGAGAAGAAGTTGCAAGAAAAAACAAAGGTGAAGGTATGATTTTTCATTATGTGTTAATTCACAAGCATCTTCTATACAATCCATCGTTTTATTGTCTTAAATTGAAACATCAACACTTGATGAATCATCGAATGATTTTAGAAAGAATTTTAGTTTGTGCAAGAACAATGAATGAACGGAAAATAGCAAGGAAACCAAGATGGACAAAATTAAGTATCATTCTTTGGAATTAACGTCAACTTCTGTTAATGATAAGTTTATAAGTGCCTAAAGTTAATCTTTGTATCTGTTATGGATTCTAAGATGACTTTTTTTTTTTGCAGATTAAATCATAGGGGTAAGGGTGAAAGCTAAACGAAGCTAAGATGCATTTAATTAGTTGCTTATGTAGGTGCTACCACAAGTAAGAATTTTGAGCAAAGGATGTTGTTACTGTCATTATTAAACCAGTTGCTGAGGTTGTCATGGTTCCTTCAAGAGACAGCTAAGCTACCTCATTTTCCTCATAAAACATGTGACGGATATGGACTTCAAAATGAGGAAGTTGAGTGCTGCAAGATTCGGTGTTGAAGAACACATGAACCAGAACACAAGTATCCTTGAGACTATCCTCATAGCATCCTATAGATGACACAGAATCCTCATGGACCCATCGAGAGAAATGAAGCGGTCTTGTAGTTTCAAAATGGCTATTTGTGTTTCGGTTAATTTGCTCTTCCACACTGATTCTTGTAGCATCCAACTCCCTCATTTTGATACTCATATTCCTCGCATACTTTGTGCAGTAAATGAGGTAGTCTAGCTGTTTCTTGACAGGAACCATGAGAATCTGAACAACTGGTTTAAAAGGGGGTAACAACATCCATTGCTCGATATTCTTACTTATGGTAGCACCTACATAATAGAAGAATTCGATGCTAGCACCTACATAGAGAGCAAACTTTTGCAGAAGCACTCAAACAATCAACAAATGAGACAAGTTTCTTCCTCCAATGTAGAAATATCTAATGATAATGAGTAGCTCTTGTATTGTCAAGTGTGATTCTAATTAAAGATCTTTTTTGTGTGTTCCTAAGGGTTTCCTCTAAGTACCTTTCTTTGTATGTGTCTTAGTTTCTTTTTGAACTTGTACATGAGTTGATGTTAATGTCTGTTTTTCTAGAGGCGTTTTCTTGTTACTGTGTTATCATTTCATCTCCAATGGTTTTCTTTTTATTTGTTGTTTCTTTACATAAAGATGATCGACTTTCGGTGTTTTTTTTTTCAGCCTTGATCTCTTAAAAACAGTTAGTTTTAAGTTTTTGATCTATTACATATTAATTAAAGAAAAAACCAAAATAGAAGAGGCATAACAAACCTTCTTCACATATAATAACCACAACATTGCTTTATAATGATTTCTACAACAAAAAGGCTAAAAGATGTGCAAAAATTCAAATATAAACAAAGTTTAATATATGAGATTGCTCAATTACCCATAGAATATTTTATAATCAGAAATAATGAAAGATGCATATGAATTCAGTCAAGATTTAAGAACACAAATCGAACAGCAGTCAATAGAGTATTGAGTTAGAGTAGGATAAAAACTAAAAAGCATCTTAAAACAACATGTTCATTTCAAATAATGAACCTAAACAAAACCTACACAATTTGACCCTCTTCAATTCCATCACTTTCAGTTTCAGCATTCAGATTCCCTCCATTCACCTCAATTCCATTCAGGAGGTTGTTATTCCCATCATATCCTTCATTCAAATCATCTTTACAATCATGGCCATGATCATGATGATGATGATGATCCTTGTTATCATCAGATGACTTCAATTCACGGCTATTTGATCTCCTATGATGATGATGCTTATGGTGCTTCCTTTCATGTCTTTTAACATCATCATCATCAAAGCTAGAAGAATCCGAATCACTAGACTCCATTCGCCTATGTCGTTTATTATCATGATGATGGTGATGATGATGATGATGATGATGATGCTTTGAGTGTCTTCTCTTCCTTCGTTCCTCGATTTCACTTTCAGACTCACTTTCACTTTCATCACTTGAACTAGAAGATCTCCTTTTAAGTTTTCGTTTCGATCTTTTATCTTTCTTATCTCTCTTATGTTTCTTGTGTTGACTCATTCTTCTTGACTTTCTGACATTATCACTTTCAGTGTCACTATCAGTTTCGGATGATCTTCTTTTATGCTTTGAAATCTTTGACTTTTTTTCGTTTGCTTCAATGGCAGCTTCGAGCTTCTGCTGCCATTTCAAAGGGGCTTCTTTTTTGGCCAAAACTCGTTGCTTTTTCTCTTCAACCAACTGGATGAATGTCTTGCAGTCCATTCGGATGTAAAAACAAGATCAAAATCTGCATTATGGTATGATGATGGCCGGAAGTGCATCTCGAAGAGAGAATGACACAGTGTTAGTTACTCTATCATAAAAATTCAATCTTGAAATAGTTGATGATAAGAATAGAAAGCTAGTAAACTTCAAGAATATGAAAAGTTCTTCAATGGAGAATTCAAGAATTAGTTTGGGGTCTCTTACCTTATTTGAGTAGCTAAATGGCCGAAGTTTGAGATTTGCTTTAGAACCCAAAATCCCAAATATCCTCCAATCTATGAAAGAATCTGTAAGAACAAAAGAAAAAAAAAATACATTTAGGTTCGAATTACGTTTGATTCAGATTTCAAAAAATCAAACGAAATCTCAATTCTCGTAATCTTTTAGATTCTAATTCATAAAACCGAGTTCATCAACAAAGGATCGAATAAAACCCTAGCTTTCTTGACGTATAATGGAACCCCCCATCAGCGAAAACACAAACTTTATTTGAAACCCTACGCGCAGATAACACGTTCAAATTAAGATCCGTTTGGATCCGAGAAAGGGAGAAAATTTTGTAATCTCGATGAATATTCAAATACCTAAAACCCGATTCTTCAACACATACATCTAATAAAACCCTAGTTTCGTCAAAATACTAGGCGTCAATGGTGAAATTTGAATTCTACTCTTGAAACAGATGGAGTGCCAAAACGAAACCATAGATACAGATACGAGCTTCAAATCAAGTTCCATTTAGATTCCGGAAAAACCAAGTAAATTTTGACATAATTTCAAATCCCTAAATTTCGATTCATTAACAAATACTTCCAGAAAAACCCTAAAACCAAGAAAACAACAATTTCCCTGTTCGATTGAAAAAAGATAGTAACTAGTCAACGATCCTCCAACAGAAACAAAGAACCAACAAATCGCTTGAATAAATTACCAAACCTTAGGCATTAATTCCAATAAGAAGAGGGGGAAACACAAAAGAGAATGAAATTGAAAAAGACATGATCAAATACGCACATACCTGTAACGAAGCGTATGGAAGAAAATACGAAATTGGATCGAACGCCTTGCTTTTATAAACAAAAGCAGTATTGATTTTGAATTTCTCTTTTACCAGCTTCTTTGTGGGTCTCTAGAACCTTCATGGAAGGAGCTTGCTTTATTTAGTCACCAAAGTTGAAACCCGTGTTGACTTTCGGGTTGGGCCTCGGCAAAAGAATCAAAATAACGGATATTCATTTATTGATACAAATACAATCAGGGATAATGACTTGAAAGGGTAACGAACTTTCGAATTTTGTCACATTTAGTCACTAAACTTTTTTTCGTTATCTATTTGCCATTGAACTATTGAAATTGTTCACATTTTACCCTTATGACCGGCTGTTGCCGGTCATAAGGGTAAAATGTGAACAGTTTCAATAGTTCAATGGCAAATAGATAACGAAAAAAAGTTTAGTGACTAAATATGAACAAAATCGAAAGTTCGTGTGAACAAACCTCCTCTTGTATTATGTTTTAGCAAATTATTTATTTTTGTTAAATTGTAGCAACATTTGTTGATGAAAAAATCTATGAAATTAAAAAAAAAAAAAAAAAAAAAAAAAAAAAACAAAAAAACAAAACCCTGAAAAGTATATTTAAAAAAAACAAAAAACCAAAACCGAAATAAAAAACCAATGGTTTGACATTTTCCAAAATAAAAAATCAAAATTTCCAATCTGATTTTGGTTTTACAAAAAAATGAATCATTCTCACTGATGTGAATTATGACCATTGGTTTGGCATGCGAAATTTGTGACATCCCATGAATATGTAGTTACAACATCGTCTGAACTCGTAATTCATAGTAAGGGGTTAGAGTATCATCACATGAATACGTAGTTACAACATCACCTGAACGCGTAATTCATCGCCTACAGGTTATGGGCCTGCTGGTGTTTTCACTGGGTTGTCTAGAATAGTTCGTGGTCGCCATCTATACTCTGGTAGATGACTACATCGCCACATTGCTAGTTAAGGTTATGGTATCTCCTTTCATCCTACATTACATATTCATCATCATCTATTTACCTGATTATCTCCACCTTTCTATCATCACCTATCTCTCATCATTTTATTTCATCACACACCAACTATTTACCCATGTTTCATCCGCAACATATTTGTAGATATAAAATAAATATACCGTTTAAATCTTTTAAAACATGTATAAAATCATTCATCCAGCATAAACAACAAGTATTCAAATAATATGCACACATAGCACGTAATTTATATAAAATACTTCATATCTATGTGTAAGATGAAAGTAACTATATATACCATCAAGGCTTCCTAACTTTGAACCCCAATGTTTACTCTACTAAAGCTTCATATTCTCGGCTCTCTGAACCTAGAAGGGTCCAGATCTATCACACCAAAAAGCTCAAGATAACTCGTCCTCTCACTCTACACACTCAAGCTCGTTAGGGTTCTCACTTATAGGAAAGGTAGTCGCAATTGAAGGCCATAAGTGCCTTTAAATATGGCTCGAGCCCAAAGATTTAGGGTTTCTGCCAACAGTGCGGACTCGTCGAGTCGCCTCACCGACTCGTCGAGCTCATTCATTAATTCGAGTCATCAGTCGCGACCTTACTCGACGAGTTAAGGCGTCAACTCGTCGAGTCTTTCTTCTTAACTCAAAAGAAAAAAAAACTTAAAAGATGATACCTGGAAATCCGGATGTTACATTTTGTTTTTTTATTTCATAGATTTCTTCATCAACAAATGTTGCTACAATTAAACAAAAATAAATAATTTTGCTAAAACATAATACAATAGGAAGTTTGTTCACATTTAGTCATTGAACTTTTTAAAGGGAAACGAACTTTCGATTTTGTTCACATTTAGTAACTAAACTTTTTTTCATTATCAATTTTCCACTAAACTATTGAAACTGTTCACATTTTACCCTTATGACCGGTAACAGCCGGTCATAAGGGTAAAATGTGAACAGTTTCAATAATTCAATGGCAAATAGATAACGAAAAAAAGTTTAGTGACTAAATGTGACAAAAATCGAAAATTCGTTACCCTTTCAAATCATTATCCCATACAATTAACAATCATTTTTTTTAGCAACTATCTATAATTCTAATATTCTATATTATATAGTTTAAAAAAAGTTAAATAAGACCCTTAACATATTGATTTTTAATAATTTGGCTATGGAAAAAGGCCAACACACATGTGGCTGGCATGTGGTTGTGATAACATTGAATTGCATTTATTTTTGTATCATTGTACCTTGGTAAATTACATATATGATGTGTGTATTTATATCGACGAGCTGCCTAATGAAGCTAACATGATGTCTAATGATTTTGTTAAATTTGATTTTGATCTTTATGACTCCATTTTGCAAAGTGCAAACATGGATTGAATTGACTATGGTTTGATTGAAAGTTATTTGAACATAATTTTGCATCCATTCATACATAACATACATATGTTATAATCCTTGTACTACAAATAAGTTATGATTTGGATTTGTATTATGAGGATTACATTCTTTTGACATACGATGTTTGAGTTTGTTATGGGGTTTTTGATTAAATTAAAAATGAAATATGTTATCTATGTTTTTGAGACGTTACATTTAATATTTGAAAATTGTATTGGTACCAGTATTTTAGGTGAACCAACTTAATAACTTTTTTTTTTTTACTTATTTACCTTTTAAAAACAAAATGATAATATATTATAAATTTCAAAAAGGGAAAATACCATGTACTTAAATTTTATCAAACAACATCAGTTGTTATTTAAAATTTTAAAAATCATCATTTTTTTTATAACTTAAAAGATTAATTTAAAAAATATTTCATTCTTTACAAAGTGTACATATATCCATTTTAATATTTAGATAAGATGATGTGTTTTCAAATTAACAAAAGACATCAAAGTCATTTCATATACACAGTTAGATACAACCAATCTAAACAAGTGACATTCATGTGTATGACTACAAAATCCATCCAAATACACAAAAAAAAAATCTTTTAAAAGTGATGTATGATTTTTATAAACTAATATGTCTCTTTTGTTTACCATGTGTACCTGAAATAAAATAAATTAATTCGTGAGGTGGTGATTCATTTCTATATATTTACCTAAAGAAGTTATTACACATCATTCATTATATATGAAAGTTTCTTAGGTAAAAATAAAAAATGTATTTCTAAATGCTTATAAAGATATTGCTAAGAGACAAACAAAAAAACATTATTGACAAAGTAACATTCTTTTAACCATATAATTTTATCATGCGTAACACGCATATATTCGTCATGTAACATTATCTGTTTGTTGGTTATATAAACACATATAATGTTTTTCAAGTGATATCATTAGATCTTTGTTGGTTATATGCATCCAGTTAATATTTTCAAAATGTTAGAAGTTATATGCATATAATTAATATTTTCAAGTTTTAAGTGATATCGTTAGATCTTTGTTGTTTTATAATAACGTTGTAGTTTACAAGTAAACCATGGTTGAAAAGATGGATTTTGAAGTCGGATATGAATTGCTTGCACCATGGATGTTGTATACAAATGTCTACATTTTTCTTTTCATTTTAATGTTAAATGTGTATTTATAACCAAATGTTTATTAAATATTTTTGCTTATGGAAATGAAATACCTATCAATCGGTAGTGGCCTTAACAACCACAAAATGCACCATGGTCACTTGACCAGATTGAAGATGACTTGTAAGGCACCATGGTCACTTGACCAGATTGCAGATGACTTGTAAGTTACCTCTAGGGAAATCACTTTATCGATTTTCGAGTGAGTGGATAAAGTAAAGATCATATCTTATGGTACAATTGAGAGAGATAAATCTCAACTTGGTTCCAAAGGTTCTATAAAGAATACTATATTGATATGAGGAGAAGTTTACACATGTGGCATGCATTACCTCTATTCGTAGTCTTTTTATGTTTGCTACTGCGTGTCTTTGGCCAATTAATCAAATGGATGTTAAAGATACATTTCTTAATGCCAATATTGGTAAATAATTATACATATACCCTATAAGTAGAATTGATCACCCTCAAAGGTATGTTTGAAACTTCAAAAACCAATTTATGGTTCTAAGGGTTTGGTTCAAAGAATTTGTGACAACCCAAATTTTTTTGCCTTGTAAAGCCCAGCCAATTAACTCAACTGAGTGTCAGACTCGTTTCTACTATCATTTAGCCTTGTTTAGAGTCCGTTCAAAGGTTCAAAGCTCAGTACATTCAAGGAATGAGTGATAAGAAGTACCTACTAAAGTTCTAAACCAACAAACAAGCCATACACTCCATTTGGGGGAGTGTACGGCCGTACACCCATGTTTGGGTCGTACACCCCTTTCCTAAGTATGTTATCCCTTTATTTCTAAGCCATTCTTCAGTTTCCAAGTCAAGCACATCGAATTTTCTCTCAACTATCATCCCGTTTTTCATCTTGATCTTCAAAAGTTGTAAGTGATTCTTCCATATTTCTTGATATCCTTCCTATTCTTGTAATCATATCTTGATTCATCTATGAAAACATCTCTTTTGACTAGATCTTCAAATCTCACAAAGAACACCAAGAACACACACTTGTTCTTGGTGATTTTGAGCCTCCTTGAGCTTCCAGATCATAAGTACTCTTTGCTTAAGCTTAGATCTTGATAAGAACACTAGATTAACACCTTGAAAATGCCCAACACTCATGAACATGAGGTGTGTACAGCCGTACACCCATGTGTGGCCGTATACTCCTCAAAACACCCTTAAAGGGGCTTCAAAGTGCATTCCTAGCTTCAACACTTGAAGAGCAACTGTCCCACAAGCATTTTTACCCTTGGAAAAGGTTTTTGTGCACTTAGTACCATGAGTGTATGACCGTACAATCCCTGGCCGTACACCCATGGCCGTATACTCTTCATATTGGCCGTACACTACCTTTTAGTGAATCACATGTGATTCCAACACTTAGTCAAAGTGTTTCGTAGTCCCGTGAGTTTCCTTGCATTTGGTTGCTTCTAAACACTATATTTAGGTCATTATATGCCATTATATGTCATTTAGGACCCGTTAAGTCTCAACACTTCATTCGTGGAACTTCT